AGTGTGTAAGGTTATCTTGCTAGTAGCCTAGTACAGTGGAGGCTCACACCTCATCCTACTCTTGACTGCAAAGAGAACCCATTTTTTATCTAATTTTAGCTCTCTCAGTCAGCACTTGCAGAATCATTCAGGTTGGCGGCGGTGGAACCTTTAAAAAAAACTGCAGAATCATTCAGGTTGGCAGCAGTGGAACCTTTAAAAAAACTGCAGCAGTAGAACTAGAAGACGTAGGACGACCTGTGGCTGGATACGCCGCACTTCTGGATGCAGTTTTTCTTTTACCCTCAAGGGCACATGCTTCCCTGTCGTGCACATATCTTAGTACGCATCCAACGGTGCACAGCAAGAGAGCATGTGTTCTCTCAAGGGCAAACAAAAGAAAGTTAAGCATGTGCCCTCAAGGCCAGCAGGAGAACACGTGTGCCCTTGAGGACAAAAAATGAAAGTTAAGCATGTGCCCTCAAGGCAATTATCAAACACAACGCTACTTTCATCACCAGCAGTCCAGCACGCTATTCTTATACCAACTACCAAGAGATAAAAAAAAAACTGCTTCTTGAAAGTTTTTGAGCAACTTTAGTCAGCCCATCCTAAGATAGTCAGATAGTATACCCTTCATGTTCTGTCTATCCTTTTACAATAAGAATTTAAAACTACTACGTTAAAAAGGCGTGCTGCATAATATAGCCCATCTGGCAATGCTTAGCGCACTTCAAGAATGGTTGCTTCTGATGCAAAGATGATGCACTCATCATTCATAAGATAAAAGATGCTTAGGCATAAGGATGGCAACGGGTCGGTTTCGGATCGGATATCCGCGGGTTTCGGGTCCAGCGGTTTTGGTTTTGGTTGCAGTTTTTCGCCCACGGTTTTCGGGTTTGCACTACTACACAAAGGATTTTGCGCAGCGTTTGTAAATAGGCCTCGGAGGTGGGCAGATTTTTAGATCGCCTCGGTTAATGCATAGATTAACCGAGGCGGTCATTTTTTATTAACCGAGATGGTTAGCTAAAATCTATTAACCGAGGCGGGCAAGGTAACAGAACCGCCTCGGTTAATCGATTAACCGAGACGGTCATCTATAAGGCCCGCCTCGAAAAATTCGGCCCAGCCCGCTACTGTTTCCTGGCCCAATATCCAGCTCCGACTATATATACCGGGATGAAAACCCTAACCTTCACCACTCCCTCCCAGGCGTTGCTCGCTCATCTCCCAGGCGCCGAGCGCTCTCCTCCAGGCGCCGCGCGCTCTCGCTCATCCCCCGACCCTTCCCTCCCACTCTCTCATCTCCCTCACTCGGCGCAACTCTCCTCTCTCTCTCTCCCACCGCCGCACACCACCTCGATCTCCTCTTCCTCTCATGGGCTAACCGGTGGCGGGCGCCCCTTTCTCTCTCTCCAACGGGTGCGGGCCAGGCTCACGTGGCCCAGAGAGCGCGGGACGCGGCGGTGAGCGTGGCACGCGGTCCCAGGAGCGCGGCGAGCGGAGCGGCCTAGGAGCGCGGCGAGCGGGGGCGGGTGGCTTGTGGGGATCTTCGGTGGCTGTGCTCCCAGACGGATCTAGGGCACGGTTCTCCGGCGGCCGCGCCTCCTCCAAGCACGGCACGACGCCCCCTCCCTCTCCTCCGAGCATGGCGCCTCTCCCTCTCCCTCTCCTCTCCCTCTCCCTCTCCGGCATGCGGCGAGCAGCGCCTCCTCTCCTCCACAACCAGGCGGCGGGGAGCAACCCTCCTGGCGGCAGATCCGGCCGCGCTCCGACCTCCTCCCCCCCTCCCTCCTCTCCCTACGGCGCAGATCCGGCGGGTTGGAGCCCGGCGGCTGCAGATCCGGTCTCCTCCCCTCCCTCCATGGCTCCACCGGTGGGTGGCGTCACAGATCCGGCGGGAGGGAGCCACCATGGCACGTATCCGGCGGCGGAGGTGGCCTCCAGCGGCGGAGAGGCACCACGGCAAGCAGCGGTGACCGCAGCAGCCCGTGGATGGGCTCGGTGGGCCCGTGGATCGGCTCGGCGAGCCTATCCACGGGTTTTTCCTTTTTTTTTTTTATTCGATTTACCGAGGCGGACATCAAACCGCCTCGGAAAAAGTCCCATTTACCGTGACCTTTTGTCCGAGGCGGTTGTGATGCCCGCCTCGGTAAATCCATTTTGCCCGCATCGAAAAATATTTTGTGTAGTAGTGTCGGATACCCAAAAATTAGCAGGTTTGTGGCTTTGTTTAGCCATGTGCCATCCTCGATTGAGAATCCACCCCAAAAACTTACCATTCTCGATTGAGAAAATCATGCTAAATGTGCATGATAAATCTTCAATCTAAGAACATAAATCTTCAGGATTACTCAGCATTAATTGGAGAAGAAGCATATTGGTACCAATCTACAAGAACAAGGGAGATATTCAAAGTTGTACTAATTATCAGGGAAATTAAGTTGATGAGCCACACTATGAAGTTATAGGAGAGAGTCATCAAGCAGCGCCTGCGAGGAACGACGCAGATATCAACAAACCAATTTGGTTTCATGCCCGGAAGGTCAACCACAGAAGCAATCTTCTTAATAAGACATGTTATGGAGCGGTTTAGAGAGCAGAAGAAGAACCTCCACTTGATTTTCATTGACTTGGAGAAGGCTTATGACAAGATACTAAAAAATATTATGTGGTGGTCTTTGGACAAACATAAAGTCCCATCAAAGTACGTGACCCTCATCAAGGACATGTACAACAATGTTGTGACTAGTGTTCGAACAAACGATGGTAACACATGTTACTTCCCGATTAAAATTAGACTTCATCAAGGGTCAACCTTAAACCCGTATCTCTTTGCCTTGTTAATGGATGAGATTACCAGGAACATACAAGGGGATATCTATTGTGTATGTTGTTCGCTGATGATGTAATGTTAATGGACGAAAGCCATGCGGAAGTAAATAGGAAACTAGAGTTAAGGCGGTAGACCCTTGAGTCTAAATGTTTTAGATTGAGCAGAACTAAAACCGAATACATGAGATGCGACTTTGGCGGAGTTATACAGGAGAAGAGAGATGTGAGTTTAGAAGGTCAAGTAGTGCCTAAGAATGGTGCCTTTCGGTATCTGGGATCGATGTTACAGAGGGATGGAGATATTGATGTGGACGTTAGCCATAGAATCAAAGCAGGGTGGATCAAGTGACGACAAGCTTCTGGCATTCTCTGTGACAAGAGGGTACCACAAAAGCTAAAAAGCAAGTTCTATAGAACGGCGATTAGACCGGCTATGTTGTATGGAGCAGAATGTTGGCCTACAAAGATTCGACATGTTCAGCAACTGAGTGTTGCAGAAATATGCATGTTGCGATGGATTTGCGGTCACACAAGAATGGACCGAGTTCGGAACGATGATATACGTGATCGTCTAGAGGTATCACCAATTGAACAAAAGCTTGTCTAACATCGGTTGAGGTGGTTTGGCCATATCCAAAGGAGACCTCCAGAGGCACTAGTACATTGTAGAGTCCTAAGCCAAGCTAATAAAATGAGGAGAGGTAGAGGAAGACCGAAATTAACATAGGGGAGACAATAAAAAGAGATTTGAAATCTTGGAATATACCTAGAGATTTATGTTTGAATAGGAGTACTTGGAAAGCAGCTATTGAAGTGCCTGAACCGTGACTTGGGGCTCTTGGTGGGTTTCAACTCTAGCCTACCCCAATTTGCTTGGACTGAAAGGCTATATTGTTGTTGTTGTTGTATTACTCAGCATTAATTAATCCAGCGAACAAGACAACCAATTATAGTCCCAATCGAAATTGAGAATATGAAATACATGTGTTCGTATAATTTGCTGACAAATCTATTAGGAAAAAGTGTTCAGATATCGACATATCATCATATAGAGGCTCACAAGCCTATCATTCTCCATTGACAAAACCATGAAGAAATGAGTACGGGAAAAATTTAAGACACAAAGCCTTCGATGAGTAGGCATTAGAAAAAAGTTGTAAGACAAAACTAGCTAACTACTGAAGGCTCTGAAGCCAATAAACCTACATTTTCCAGTGACGAAAACATGAGTAAATGGAGTACGACAACTTTAATCTGTGCACATAAAACATTCAAGTGATTAAGCGGTCAATAAAGGTTGACAAATAAATTAGATCAAAAACAGGGCTCACAAGACACAGACTCCCATCCCAGTTGACAAAGCCAGTACAATTGAGGTATGACAAAACCAATAGCTAACTTCCATAGATAAAATATAAGCTAGAACCAGAAATATAATCTTATCAACACATGGAGTCAGAAACCTAAAAATGAGAGCAATATTTGCCGAATTCTGAAATGCAACAAACAGATATGTTGTTTGACTGATACAAAAGTACTGAGATCCTGAGACCTTAAGCTAATTTTGTAGCTACCTCGAGGTTTCAAAGATCTGTTCACCTTCCTGTTATTCATGAAATCATGCCAAATTACACCTCACTTACTATACACAACACTTGGCTTCATATCAACTAATTTCCTCTTTCGTCGAAAGGGGAAACAACACATATCAATTTTTCAAAATTGTCAGCGTCCCAACATCCATTTGGACACTTCCTTACAAGCAGGAATACCTTAAAAAATTTTGCGAGGCAACTAAATGTATTTCAACCTCTACCGCTCCACATCCACAACTGTCTCAAACAACTGCATATCGGTAGTACGATTGCACAAGGTCAAAACCATGGCTCACGAATACTTAGAAATTCAAACTGATTCACAAGATATATAATACATTATTAGCATCCAATGCTGTAACAATGACTTACAAGGAAGATTGAAATGCAAAGAGCATTATGATGCTCATAGCACGCATTCCAAATGGAAGGGAATGGATTCTACATTATTATGATGCTAGGTGCACAAAATTGATACCAAATTCAAGCTCCAGATATTACTAGAACAGCAGAACATTATGAGAACAGCAGAACAAGAGGGTTCCCGCCAAAATTTGTGACCAAGGAACATTTTACCTCAAGAACAATCTAGCTAAAGACTTCATAAAACTTCTCAATGACGAGCAAACCCGAGTCAATGGATTCAAGCGGATCCTTCCGGAGCCGATGCCTCAAGCAGTTTGGAATGACAGTAGCAATATCCTCGACCGTGACGCTGTCCCTTCCTTTCAATGCAGCCAGCGCCTTGGCAGCCCTGTTAGTCACAATGTCACCTCTGAGTCCATCAACATTCAACTCAGAGCACACCTTGGATATCTTGACGCGGAGGTCATGGTCAATCTGCACAGCGCCAAGGTTACTCCGTGCAGATGATATCTGCTGCTGGAGCTTCTCCTGCTCCTCATTGTACGACTCACGGAACGTCTTTGGATCCCTGTCAAAACGAGCCCTCTCGTCCACGATCTTCACCCTGAGCTCAGCGTCCCTGACAGTACCAACCTGTGCGTGCATCCCGAACCGGTCCAGCAGCTGTGGCCTGAGCTCCCCTTCCTCCGGGTTACCAGAGCCGATGAGGATGAAGCGAGCAGGGTGGGATATGGAGATACCCTCCCTCTCGACCGTGTTCCACCCCGACGCAGCGGAATCCAGCAGCACATCGACGAGATGGTCGTCCAGCAGGTTGACCTCGTCGACGTACAGTATGCCCCTGTTGGCCTTGGCGAGCAGGCCGGGCTCGAACGCCTTGACGCCCTCGGTGAGCGCCTTCTCGATGTCGATGGTGCCGCAGACGCGGTCCTCGGTGGCGCCGAGGGGCAGGTCGACCATGGTAATCTTGGCGGTGGTGACGGGGACGCTGGTGTCCCCCCGCAGGACCCGCTCGCGGACCTCGGGGCCCATGACCTCCGGGTCGTCCGGGTCGGAGTTGAAGGGGTCGCCGACGACGACGCGGATGTCCGGGAGCAGGTCGACGAGGGAGCGCACGGTGGTGGACTTGCCCGTGCCCCTGTCGCCCATGATCATCACGCCGCCGATCTTGGGGTCGATGACGTTGAGCAGCAGGCAGAGCTTCATCTCGTCCTGCCCCACGATGGCCGCGAACGGGTACACGGGGCGCTGGCTCTCCTTGGCGGCCGCCGACGCCGTCGCCTCCTGCGCGGAAGCAGAAGCAGACATCGAATGCGGGGTCGCGGAGGAAGGATCACCATGTCCTGTTGACCGGCGGGGATTGGAGAACGGGGGGCGTACCTGCTCGGCGGCGGTGGGGGCGGCGACATTGCAGACGGTGAATCGGCCGCGGCGGAAGTCCAGCCCCTTCCTGGATGGTTGAATGCGCCCTGCGAATAGACCGGGGAGGGGGGTCAGTGGGGTGTTGGATTCGGTGCTCGGTGATGGGCGAGCTGGGAAACAGAGTGGGGAGGGGAGGGGAGGGGAGGGAAATGTAAGATGAGATGACGTTACCTGACGAAGCTGCAGCGGCGGCGAGGAAGAGTGGGCGGGAGGTGGAGCCCGGGACGAGGGCCCTCGCGGCGGAAGTGGGGGAGAAGGTGGAAGCCATGGCGAGGAGGACAGGAAGAAAGGGCATGGGGCGGTGGTGGTGTGGGTTTGTGTGGAAGGAGCGGGGGAGGAGGGGGATAGGGAGGGGATAAGCCGGGGGGAGAGGGACGGGGAGCGATATCGGAGGGGATGCTGCGATTGGAGGCTGCTACCTTCTGGATCACTGGATGGACGGAGGCCCGCTTGGCAGTCGGCACCAAGCAATCTACGTTGATGGTGATGGCTTGATGCTAGGGCAACATTGCCACTGGTTTGAGGGTACACGCAACGGCTCAAAATGATGGCTTGATGCTACTGCGGTATTTTGTATTTGATTTTAGAGCAACGTAATGGTTTAAAAATAGAATTAAACAATAATAATGTTACTATAGTGCTACAATAAACCATTCACGGAAAGAAACCTTATGAGCGTTTCTCTCATCGCTTTGGCTCTCTCTCCGATCTGCCTTCTACACTGGCCTAGGTTAGATGTTAGTGTGCGTCTGTGCGAGAAGCGCTAGGCAAGAAAGTCCAGATGTTACCGTGCGAGAAGCGCTAGGGAAGAAAGTGGTAAAGCGAAGGGGCAAGCGATTGGGTCTAAATGAATATTTTATTTGAGAACAAGTTCTACATTTTATGATAGGCGGGAGAGATCCAGCGTGTGGGTGTGGGGGGGGGGCTCATGCCCTCCTACCCCACTGGGCTCCATGAAATGAGAGAGAGAGAGAAGTGGAAAGAGCAAGAGGGAAGAAGAGGAGAGGAGAGGAAGAGGAAGAGGGGCTGACTGAAGAAGAAGGGAGATGAGCACCCTAGACTTAAACTCTACATCCGTCCCTAATCATAGGGGTTTTAAGCACTATGCCAGTTGCAACAACTACACACTAATAACACACAAGGTCCTATCTTAAGGTTAGATTGATAAATATTATCCTTGCCCTAAGGTCTTTTCGGTCTACACACATTACACCTTGGATCTTTATGGGAAATCTATCTTCTTCCCTAATTTCTTGGTCTCAACATGCTTTCCTTTATCCTCACAAAGTTAAATTTAGTCCCCAGCATGACAACATACATCCGGTCCTATCACCTTTATCGGGTCTCTTACATCCATTTGGTCCTATCGCCTTCAACGGGTCTTCTACAGCTAGTCACAAACATCGTCCCTACTTTAATACTTTCATAATCAAATAAGGATCCTCTATTTTATTGGCATCACGTTAAGGCACAAACCATCATGCAACAGTTTGGTTGTGCCACACTACCATCGCCTGCCACATGCCCATGTTTGTTGGGAGCGCATGTACTAAGCATGTTTGTTGGGGGAGAGAACGCCAGTTGCTGCTTTCACTTTTGGATAACATCAACGATGAAGTCAACAAGGAACGCATATATGTAGAAACTTATGTTGTTATGTTATGTCCAATACACGTTGTCTATAAATAATGTAGCAACTCACGCAAAAGCATGTAATAAAAATTTCAAAGATGACCTAAAAGTTCTTATGCAAAAAGTATAGTAACTTGTGTTTTAATGTGTAACAACCAAAGCAACATAGGAACTTCTGTTGTAGATTGGGGACACTTGTTTGTATAGGTAGCATCTCATGTAAAATATAGTCTAGTAACTTGTTTCACGTGCCTATGGCAACTTGTAATGTACATCTAATAGCAACTTATGGAAAAGACATAACTTGTGTCAACTTTACTTGAATATATAGCATCATTATACATAACTTGATAGTAAGAATAAAATATTTTTGAAATATATACAATGTGAATCTCACTATATTGAACTTTTGGTAGTGAATGCAACGATGAATCCAAATAACACATGGACATCCAAGAGAGAGAAGTGTACTAGTAAGCACAAGCCAAATTGCTTGCATGATGATGATGTTCCAACTCCCATGTGCTCCATCCCAAACGAGCTAACCCACATAACAATGAAAAAACCTCCTCTTCTTAGCCTAGACAATAGTAATCGAACATCACATAGAAGACCTCCTCTGCTTAAGTGCTTAGCCCAAACTTGGGATTATGTGTAGCTCTATCTTATCTCTAGGACAACATAGTCTTTGTGATTTTGTTATGCATTATTTGTAATAAAATCAAATTTCTAAATGCCCTAAATAACTCAAACTAGGTAAATGGACAATCCACATTGGTTCTTTTTACCATTGTAGCGTCTGTAACTATGTTTGAAGAATAAATGTCTCTGCAAAACTATCCAAATGACAAAATATTAAACATATTTATGAAATCATGATTCACAACTCATCAAACCACCCTACCTATCAAGATTTAGATGATCATATTGTTTGGCATGTCACTAGCTACTGCGATTGCCATTATCTTGGTATTTATATTAACAACACAAACTAAGAGCAATCTATAGCATGTTTGACCCGACAAATTTTGTCATAAAAAACTTTAGGAAAGTGGTGTTTTTAAATCATGATTGTAAGTTACCATACTCTTATATCATGTCATAGACACATTCCTTTACCAAACCTTGTATAAGGTGTAGTGAAAAAAATTGTCAAACACGTCCTAAATTACATGTATGAACTAAGGCACCATTTGACAACCAGAAACATTTCTGATTCTTGCGAGAATCAGTAGAATCATTGTTAAACGGGCCAGCTGAGAATCACTTCACTCAAGAATCACTAGAAACATTTCTTGTTCTTATGCCTGGCAAGGAGAGATGCCAGATAGTTGGTTTTGCATGATTCTGATTCTTGCCCCTATTAGCAACCATAATTTTTTAGTTAATTACTTTTTAAGTGAAATAAGTTAAAATAGGATGTACTTAAGTTGTTCTTCACCCAAAAAAAAGTTTTTGAATTTTTAAAGAATATTTTATTTTCATGATTTTTTATGAAAAGTATATTAGCATCCTGCCTACTAGCCAAACGGTTTCACGAAGTGATTCGGATTTATTACCATAAATGTTTTGTCGGTGTTTTATAAACCAGACTAGTAAACTTATACGATTGCCGCGCTGCGCTAGGAAGACGATGGTAGCATCCAATAGACACGAGGATTTATATTGGTTCAGGTCGGATCCCTACGTCCAGTCTTAGAGATGATCGAGTGCGTGTTCCTCGCTTGAATGCTCTGAAGTTCTTACAATGCGGGGTGCAAGAATGGTAGAAGAGATGGAAGAACCTATGCTAGGCGAAGGGCTGCCCAAAGAGAAGCTCCAGGAGCCCTACTACAATGGTGAATGAATGGAATGGTAGAGGATTTAGAATATGTCTGGAGAGGGTGCCCTGGCTGCCCTTATATAGAGTTCGGGCCCAGGGCTTGTACAATGAGGAGGTTCTCCTGACCAAACGGTTAAGAGCCTGAGGGAGGTCCTAGCTAACTTGGCTTTCAAGCTATGCCGTCTTTTGGTGCACGTCCGGTTGTGGCTGTCATCATGGTCTTCTAGCCACATTGCGATAGGGTGTGGCGTGGCGCTACTATACCGGCCATGGCGGCACTGTAGCCTCAATGGTGGTTCATCAGCCGTCCTGTGCAACGCGGTGTCCGTCGTGTCCTCCGTCATCGCTTCTGGTCCGTAGGTGCATAGTACAAGAGTTGGTAGCCACCTTTAAGTTGTTGATCACCGGGTCATCACTTAGGAGCTGAGGGCCATGATCCCGATCGTTGGGATCGTGGCTCTCATCGGCACGGGTGGCCTTTAAGTCAAGGCCCCCGTCGTGGTTCCCATCCCATAGTGGGTGAGATCGTTCATGCGTCTTGTCAGGCCGTATCTGGCCGGTGGTCATCGTGCCTATCGTCACCGCCTTGGGGAGGTGTTGTCTTGTTCGATCTTTGTGGCGTAGGGCTGGCATCTAACTTGACTGAGGTGACTGCTGTCCCCTCGATTCTTGTGGGGTCAGTGCAGCATGCTTGCTCTTGTCAGAGCAGGCGTGCCTAGCTGCTCTCGACCTCCCCCATCCCTTCTAGGGGTCGTGACAGGGAGAGGTCGTGCATTTTGCGAGTGTCGTGTGACTGAGGCGGGTGCAAGGGGTTAGGGCTGACCCCATCTTTAGCGCCTAGTCTGCTCTGTTCGGCTCTTGCTTGGCCTTGGTCATTTGGGCCCTTGCTGACTATTGCGTTGCAGGCCACGCTGCCTGCTAACTAATCGGTGCCTTGGGACACCCTTGGTCATAACCCCGACAGTAGCCCCTGAGCATTTTTGTGATCACGAAGTGATCATGAAAGCGCTGGTATGCGTGTGCGTTAGAGCGCGGGCTCATGGTTGTGTCCAACTCGAGCTTCATTGCTCAACCCTTATGGGCTGGTGTATTCAATGCGGTAGGTGGATGTTGTGCCCCGTCCTGTCAGGGCATCTTGACGATGCGATTCTCGATCGATGATCCCTGCCATGTCAGTGTGTCGTGTTTTGCGACCCAGGTGGAGCCGTGTGGTCTCGTCGACCCCTGTTATGGCTCCTCATTTGGGAGGCCCAAACTTATTTGCCCTTACGCGGGTATCTAACGTTTGTTGTGGCCCTCCATGGCATGCCACGCGGCGTGGGGGCCCCTGGCCATTTGATCCACCTTTGGACCTATAAATTGGGGCTTTTCTTCCATTCGCATCATTCATGGTTGTAGTTGCAAAATTCTCCCACCTTCCTGTGAGGAGAGCATGTGGGGGTATAACCCCCGGTAGCAACTAGGTTGTACATGGGCCAAGCCGCTAGGGGAGGCTCGGCCCACAAGATCAAGCCATGCGGGGCATGGCACAAGTCGGCGTGCGCCGCAAGACTACGTGAAGCTTCCTTGACGACGAAGGAGAATCTGATCGGATATGCTAGATATCGTATTCCTTGTACACACATATCATGTAACCGATCAGGATAGATGCAACCAACCTGTAACCCTACCCCCAACCTATATAAGGTGGGTAGGGACCCCCTCATTTTTCATCGGATATCTCATAATAGAATCCACCAAAGACATAGGACGTAGGGTATTATGTCAAGCTAATTTCCTAAACCTGCCTAATCGTTGTCTCTTGCGTTCTATGTCACCATTGAGTTCCTTCACGTGCACCT